GATGTCTACGACGATTAGCTGAAAAACAACCAAAAATGAAATTTATTATTAATATTAATAATCAAACATGATCAAAGTTAGTACAAAAATATAGTAAAATGTAAAAATTACTTAGAAATGAAGTTAGTACTACACTTTCATTATGTGATTTGTGTGGTGTAAATAGTCATTTAGGGTATGAATCACCTTCAAATTCATAAGATGCAACTATATGAGCTAATAAATTTGTGCGGCCTTTACTAGCTCTTTCTTTTTCACAATTAAATCACCAAATAATGTATGAAACGTGATACCTAAAATTAAGGACTTGTTTGGCATCATGTTTTGTTTTCTATTTCTTGTTTTTTTAAAAAGAAAAAACCAAAATAGGAAACAATATAATGGTGTTTTCACTTTTCAGTTGTCAATTTTCAAAATTATCAGGATTTCAATAAGTTTGACTATTTTTAGATTCATTATATGCCATATATCATGTGATTTTGTAAAACATAAAAATAAAAAATAGAAAACCACAGCGATGCCAAACGAACCGTAACTTAATTTATTTTATTTACAAGATTTAATCACACAAAAGGTTACATTACAACAAATATTGTTATTCTTTTTAAATTCAAATTCGTGAAAGGGACAAGAAATAAAACAAGATTCGATTTGACTTAGGTGTTAAAACAACAATTAATTATTCCAATTATGTCCTTCATTAACGCAATATACTATGAGAATTAATTAGTTAAAGTCTGATTAAAGTGGTCAAGCAACAAAAATTAATTGTTTGAAGTTGTTTTAGAACAATATAATAAAAGTTATTTAACTAGGTGCTGAAGAATTACCACTTTTCTTTCTAAGATCTTCGTTTAGAATGAATGCAAATGGACTGCTTCTTGTTCAGGAACCTCCACCGTAAGGACAAATTAATAAAGGGCGGGTGTTTAGGACAAGAGGGTTAAATTAATGCATAAAGTATAAAATTATGTATTGGTTGTTTTCTAAGAGTTTCTGTGTGTTAAAATCTCGTGAATCATCCCATATTTATAGAGAATGATAAATATTAGAGTTTCGGATATGCCGCAGCAGCAGGGGGCGAGTGTTACTCTGAAAGTTGGATGCGGTAGCTGCGCGCAAGTTTAGTTATTGCACTAAGCGATGGAGTGTGATCTTTTTTGTGCGCGGTATTATATGGTAAGATTCTATTCAGCGTTTTTAAAAAATTTTGAATCTATGCGAGTGCAACTCTAAATGTCGCGTTGACAAGCTATGCACAACTTATAAAGTTGCACGCGGTTGCAGTGTACAACTTCGTGAGTTGCGCGCAGATTAAGCCTAACTTTTGATCGGGCTTAGTTCTTTAGGCTTTGTTTTACTTTGTTTTGGGTTTAACTATCTTGTTTTATACATTAAGGCCTCAATTAGTAGTTCATTAGCATTATTCACTCCGATCTAACACAAAGATGAAATTTTATATTGTCATTGCACTTTCGGTCGGGAGAGGAGGCCAAAAATAGATATCTACAGGTAGCCTCCAAGTACATTGGTTGAGTCTAGAATAGACGACGATTAAAGTAGTCAAGGAAGTAAATCTGAGACTCATTCTGCGAAGTTCTTTAAAGATAAAGAATCTTTCAGTAGTGTTGAGAATGTCAAAACTATCCTTAGTTCGCTAAATGTTCAAGACAAGTAGCTACTAAGATCAAATAAATTAACCTTAGCGCGATAAATAGTCTAGGTTGACCGTTTGCAAGTTTTGAACTCTTTTACAAGTAAGGCTGTCGTGGGTGATGTCATTCTTACGAAAAGATATTAGGTTCAAAAGAGGAAAAAAAGAGGATACCTTCTCGATATGGCATCGATGGTCTAAAAGTCTAATCTGTGATTGAGATTTTAGTCCGTGATTTTAATAAAGGAAAGATGATGAAAAGAAATGGTGATTCTACATCTGCATCCTAACACCCGAATAAAAGTTTGGCATCCGTAGCCAACGACATCCGCAGCAAAAAAACTTAAGGGCGAGTTATTTCAAAAAATTCAACTGTCCACAAGATAGAAATTCACGTCTCAAAACTAGAGGCTTGTATCCAAATCTAGTGAGAGAGTTGAAAATCGGCAACTAACTTAGCAGTTTCGTCCATAAGAAGAAAATAAACACGCATCTCAAGATTGGGGGGACGTGTCTAAATTATGGCTTAGCATTGGTCGTTCTTTATATAGGGGGTGGACATACACCCTAATTGTCCAGTGAAGCAAAATCGTCTTATGCCTACCGTAGTTGCATAGTCGCCCAACGAGGGAAGTATCGTCTTGTTAGTTGGCGCGCTTTTTCGACTCGTAAGCTAACGCCTTCTAAAAAATTCTACTATTTTTTACGAGAGGCAGATTACGTTGCTAATGCAATTTTACACCCCACGTTTGCTATAAAATTTTATGCAGTATATACGCTATACAAATTTACGCAGTATATACGTGATATATTTGTTTTGGAACGACAAATATACTAAACCGTGGAATTTCTCGATGGGGAAGTAAAGGAAAATACCAAACTGTCTATGAGTGCTTTTTTGGGATACGTAAAAGTACCACTACGTGACATTTTTTTAGAATCCGAAAAAAAATGTCCAAAATGTATGCTTGGTCAAGCACAAAGAACAGTGCGCATGCGAAAAAGGAAAACATATGCCAAGAAAAAAACTACCGAATGCAAAGCAATAAAAGGTTTTTAAAGGTTTTGAAAACTTCGCGAGAAAGCCTATCGAGGCGTGAATTCAACGAGCTAATACATTTGATTTGGAAGACGAAAAAAAAAACGGGGGCGGTTATTTGACTGACAGTAACTGCGCATAACTCTAAGCGTTGCGCTGGGATGTCATGCGCATGTTTCTCACGCGACTTTGTGAATTGAGCGCATATCTTAAACAACGAACAAAATAAGGATGAAGCGTGATCTGCAGCTCGTGCTCTTCTTCTTCATCCGCCATTTTCAATCTCTTTCTCTAGAGCCCTATGTTTGTTGTCATTTGAAGCTAAGGAAAGTAGATATTGCTCCAATTTTATTTTGCTAAACTTTGAATTTGGTTAAAACATGGGGAAAGTCGAAAGAAGTACCCTAATTTTTGAAATTGAGGGTATTTAATTCGACTTGTTTTCATGAATTTGGTTGTTCTATGTTGTTGTTACATGTTTAAGGAATATCTTGCCACAAATTTCATGTGAAATGATCAAGTATCGAGTGTTGTATGAGTATGTACAAGCATATATGTGTTTTTCTTTATTTGAGTTCAAATTCGTGCTTGGACTTTTTTTTTTTTCTTGCTCACATGGACTGTACTCGTTAATTTTAATGTAAATTGAAGTGTTAGGACTACAATTATGAACTTAAATTAGGACCGAAATTTTGAACTTTTGATAATGGCACGAAACCGTTCTTGTGTCTCTTGTTTGTTAAAGCTATGCTTAAGTTGAAAAAATGGTTTCATCAATGATAACAAAAATCAATAATTATTATTCACTTATAAAACTATGGTTTCAAGATTTGCATAAAACTAGTTAGTTTAGGAATTCTTGAATACATCATCGAACTGGTATAGTTTGGCTACATTTTGGTCTTTCGAGCCTTCAGTTTATAATTTCAAGTGTCATAGCCCCTAGTATTGGGTGGCTTCAATGATGACTAGTTCTCTTTTCAGCGTTAGACCCTTTCTTTCATGTTTCTGAAATGGGTATAGAAATCCCATGTATCATTTTATTCTGATAACAACTAGGATTTTTTAGAACGGTTCAACTGTTTTCGACCATTTATAGCTTTAACAAAGGAAATTTGCTAAGTTTAGTAATATTGGTTGTCCATAGAACAAGTAAGAGGAAAAATGAGATGTAGTTGTTTACCTTTTTCCTCTTTTGGATATTGTTTGTGCGTCTTTTGGATTGCAAATAATATTTATTACAATAAGAATCGGGTAAAGGCCATATGGGAAAAATTGTCTTTTTTACTCAATTTCGTATCTTCATCCCCGTGCCTCGAGTCGTGGTTCGTGACCGTATGAAGTTAGTAATCTCATATATTATAAATGGGGTGTAACTATCATGGATCAAAATTCGTGGTTGTCTTGTCTCTTTCGTTAAAATCCAAGAACAATTTGCATGTTCCTTAAGAACTTGTTTGCAGCTCCGCTTTTTTTCGTCCCTAATCATGATAATTTCAAATTTAACTTCCTAGATTAAATTGCCAAACATATTCACGCATGCTAAAGTAGGCGCAGTTCGCACGACGCTTGCAGGTGCGGACTCTTTTCGCCGAGCTCTTCCTCTCTTTGCCTCTCTCTTAGTATTTTTGTAAATTAGGTGTTTTCCTCCATATTTTTTTAAATGTATCACTTTGAATCTAGAAACTCCTCAATAATTTTTCGAGTAGAGAGAGATATAGAGAAAATGAAAGAGGGGTCATGTGATATGAGAGAGATAGATCGAATTTATTTACTACAAAGGAAAGTGATGCATCTAAATTGAAACTTTTTATTTGTAGAAAGTGATCCATCTGAAAAAACGGAGGAAATATATAGTATTTTTTTGAAAGGAGAGGAAATATATAGTATTTTTTAGGAATGTAATTGCTTGGCGGGGATATGCTAATAGAAGCCAACAATTGTTTCTCCTGTGAGTTTCAGAAGAGGGCAATGGTGCCACTAATATCATGATTCCTCATTTTTGAAGGTAATAAAACTCAAATTCTGAATCTAATTTAAGATTATTGTATATGGAACTATGGAAGATTTGGGATGTAAGATACAAATTAGCTCTTGGGCTCGCTTCAGGGCTGGTTTACTTGCAAGAGGAGTGGGAGCAGTGTGTGTTGCACTGCGACATAAAGTCCAGCAACATAATGCTGGATTCCAATTTTAATGTTAAGCTAGGTGACTTTGGTCTTGCACGGCTAATGGACCATGAACTCATTGCATAAACAACAGGTTTAGCAGGAACTTTAGGATACATGGCTCCAGACTCCAGAGTATATGAATACAGCGAAGGCTAGTAAAGAATCGGATGTATATAGCTTTGGTGTTGTCGTACCTGAGATTGCCACCGGACACAAATCAAGGAATCCTGGGGATATTAGTAACGAAAAGGGATTAATCGAGTGGGTGTGGGATCTCTATGGCAAAGGTGACTTAATTTCTGCGGTGGATCAGAGACTAGGGACTGATTATGATGCTAAGCAGGCCGAGTGTTTGATGATGGCCGGTCTATGGTGTGCTCATCCTGATCATACTATGAGGCCGTCTGTAAGACAAGTCATTCAAGTTCTAAATTTTGAGACCACTCTACCAAGCCTTCCACCCAAAATGCCCATTGCTACGTACCATGTGCCTGTACATTCTGCTAGTTCTAGTGTCCCTTCAATAACTTCTACTAGCATTGAAGTGGGTCGTTGAGTTCATCTTCTATGTTTTGATCAGTTAGAAATGGTTATGTTTAATGTCATCTGTACTTTTTCCACAAGACCATTGGTTAGTTTTTATTTATTTTTTTTCTTTTAATGGCAGGGTATGAGAAGGTTTATGGCAAGTAAATGTGACAGATGAACCAACTTCTTCTCCAACTTATTTTACTACATTACTTGTATGGCTTTTGAATATTGGATTTTCTAAAACATGTATTGATGTCTTATGTTTTTGCTATGGCTTTTGTATTGCAAGTACATTTGTGCTTGAAAAATTGGTCAGGGTAAAGTTTGTGTTCGTCGAACTAGATTGATTATCATATTATTTAAAACTTTCATTGTTACTTTATATATTTTTCCTTTCTATATACAGATTATTTAAACTAACTCTATCCAAGAAATGAAATTGTGTGTACGTAAATTCTACAGTATGTTCTATATATAACTGATGTTTACTATTTGTTTATTACTCGTATCAAGTAACAAGTACATACTTGATCTATTGGTGAGGATTGTACTATTTGACATCAATCCCCATTTGAGATATTTTGTGGCAGGAATTCCCTTACCTTCTCCCCTCCCCCCGCTCTCCCCCCCCCCCCGAATCAATCCTAAGGGGTCTTGCCTGCTAAGCCAAACTAGTTGACCTGTGAAAAGTTCCAATCATAATGATGTTGTATGTTTTTTTTTTTTTTTTTTTTTTTTAAGATCAGATGTCTGTAAAGCAAATGCCAACGATATCACCTTCAGAATGATACTTGTTATTGCCCTTAATGTAGTACAATTACTGACAGAGAGTTTATCCAATTCCGTGTAGTTGGAGAGCATTCCAAAAGTTCTAAAGATGTACTTGTTATTTTAGATGAACTACTACAAGAGGGGGGGTGAATGGTAGTAGGTTCCAATCGCGAAACTTATGCGGAAATTAAAAACAAAACGTAAAGGAACTTAAAGCACAAAGCAAGTTTTACGAGGAAACCATCCAGTGCCTAACTGGAAGTAAAACCTCGGCCCTATTGGGACTTATAAACAAATTCCACTATAATAGGCAACTCTCCTAGTACAACCTATTACACAGACCTTTGCTTTGCAAGTTCCGCCACGGACACTTGACTCTATGATAGGACACTTCCTACCAGACCTAAGACACTTCTCAGGACCCTTTTTCTCCCTTTACCCAGGAAACTTCCTAGGTGACCCAAGACACTTCTCAGGTTCCTTTCACTCACTGTGCACTCACAGCTACCACTCGAATTTTACCAGATTTCAAACTCATACACAAGCGTGAATTTAAGAGAATTCACAATCTCACCCCAAAATACAAAACACTCAAAACCCTTTTTCCCATTACAAGATCTCATCGAATATCCCTAAATACATATCTATGAATAAAGAGATAAAACTAATATGTTGAACACTCAAGATCTGTCTGGAACTCACTAGACGTACTGTAACCAAAAACCTGATAGGAACTTTGACCAGGAGGACTGACTTAGCTTCGTGGTGAAGGATAAAACCATTAAGCACGACCACTACACTTCGTCAGCCTCAACTTTGAATGAATACATATGAGCATATTTATAGTACACTCGAAATATTCATTTCATCTTGAAAAAGATAGATTTTCTGAAAAGATAAGTTTAAAAGATATATTCTAAAAATCAGTTTTCCGAAAATATATCTTTTTGTTAAGAATAAAAACTGTCAATAATAATAAGATAAACTTAGCATAAAATCAGACTTTATTCAAAACTTATCTTTTTGTTTAAATACTTTTTAAACAATCTTATCTTTTTCCAAAAGGGATTAATTAGAAGATAAATATCTTTATTCAGTAAAACCAAATCCCTAAAAGATATGCACGTATAAGGTAAATATATATATCATTAAAACCGACCTTTAACGACGTGCATACTTAAGTTCCTATTAGGTTCCTAAACTCTGACAGTCTTCGAGTTCCTGACAAGTCAGTTACTCTAATTTCATTGACTGTTTGGAGTCCACCTTGGTTCTATATAGACTTGTTCCAGACCGAATTTTATGTCCAACATACTTACATGAATCCTAGAGCAATATACTTCTATTTCTCTGTCTTCATGTTGCTTCTCTGAAACTCTTGTTCTGGAATCCTGTAGTCTTGATATATTCTGGATCTTAGGGTTTTCCCCAACATTACACCGGAACCAGGTCGTTACAACCCGTTTCGAAGTTCCTGTTAAGAAACTTCTGGAAGTTCCATTTCTGGAACTCTTCTTCTAACTTTACTTGTATCCTCATGGATCCTCTAAAGTTCCTCTATTTCAGTTCCTACTTCAGCCCTCAACGCTTACTGAACCTGCAAACATCACAACACTAGAAAATCCTTATTAAATGGAAGTTTGCTCAATTCTTAACATCATCATCAAAACCTCATAAGGGTTAATAAGTTGCCCCTTTTTAATGATGACAAACTGAGCAAACTTCTGAGAATTCTTAATATGTATGATGCTTATGGTATGCAGTAATTAAGTCTAAAGTTATTACATCATGATTGTTGAAAGTATTTATATATTGATAAATGATGTGTATTGCTAAGTTCCTAACTATTAAGTTCTTGTGTATGTTCTTAACTTGTTTAAATGTTATTTCCTTGAAAAACTAAGGGGGAATAAATGTACAACGATTATCCTTTAATATGTGATAAGCAACATTAGTTTGTCATCATCAAAAAGGGGGAAATTGTTGAGAAATTAGGTTTTGATGATTATAAACTAATGATGATTATCTATCTAACGTGTATGTTAAGTTGTGCATAGAAAGAGCAAGTTATGCTTGGAACAGGATACAAGGAACCTAAGTAATGATAGGTATATATGTAAGGAACTTGAGCAATATAGGATAAGCAATAGAGGAACAAGAACAACGATAAATGTTATGGTTGATAAGCATGATGATAACAAAGTAACTCAGAAGGTTAGTTTTTTCATTTATAAAAACAGTAAAGAAAACCAAACTAAATTAAAAGACTCCTACACATACATGACCTATATATGTACAGGATACTTACCTTATGAAGCTAACATATGCAAACACATGTTTACATAGTTACCTTCATGGTTCCTTAGCCATCATCATGCTTATCAACCATAACATTTATCGTTGTTCTTGTTCCTCTATTGCTTATCCTATATTGCTCAAGTTCCTTACATATATACCTATCATTACTTAGGTTCCTTGTATCCTGTTCCAAGCATAACTTGCTCTTTCTATGCACAACTTAACATACACGTTAGATAGATAATCATCATTAGTTTATAATCATCAAAACCTAATTTCTCAACAATTTCCCCCTTTTTGATGATGACAAACTAATGTTGCTTATCACATATTAAAGGATAATCGTTGTACATTTATTCCCCCTTAGTTTTTCAAGGAAATAACATTTAAACAAGTTAAGAACATACACAAGAACTTAATAGTTAGGAACTTAGCAATACACATCATTTATCAATATATAAATACTTTCAACAATCATGATGTAATAACTTTAGACTTAATTACTGCATACCATAAGCATCATACATATTCTTCCCCCTTTTGTCATTATCAAAAAGGGTATTGTTCCACACGTTTGTTTTTGGTAAATTATATGCACTTAAAGTCATATGTCACACCTACCACCATATAATAAGTAAGTATATACTAGTTAAACACTTGTTGTTCCTAAAAGCCTCAAGGTACTCACTTTTCAAACACGGATACCATTTCCACACTAATTTCCAACTCACAATCCAAAGGCCCAACTTCAAAACCCTTAATTGAACTTGACAAATAAGAAGTTAAAATTCAAGTAAAGATCAGAGCTAAAAAGTTAGAAATGGATTGCATGAATAGACCAATTAAAGCGCAAGCTTAAAGGATATATAAAGAAGCATATGGAACAAAATAAGTAGAGGGAACGTGAAGTGGAAATTGTGTTCTTCGTTTAAACCTTTTGAGATGAGAACCGCCACATTGTACTTTATCTCAAACTCTTGAATCTCCTATTGAACACAACACATATTCATCTTGCCAATTGATAACCAAGTTCCCTTACCTTAACCACCAACTTCTTTGAGGAACATTCTCCATACTGGAACTTAAATAGATTTCAGTTTCATCATAATCAAGTTCCTTCGTCGTTTATTATTGTTCCTTCACTAGCTCACCAAGTATACGAGTGCACGACATCAACATAGTCAACATTCTTCATATATAGATACCCAGGAAATTAAATATTTGATCACCCTTTTTCCTTTTCTTTCTCTTTTTTTTTTTTTTTTAAAGGGTGTCATTATACAAATTTTTTGCATGCTTTCCTAGAATAACACATTTTAAATAAATGAAGAAAATACTTACTCATACACTTGATTTCCACAACCAAATATGAACCAATTTGATTTCTTGGTTCCTACCTTATTCCCCCTGAGTTCCTTACCATTCTTCTTCCTTTTCAAGTGCTTTACTTTTTTTTCTTTTTCTTCAACTTCCCCCTCAACATGTAATCACTTTTTCACGTTTCATTGAACCATAAAAAGATGATGAACAAACTTAGAGCACATGGGAATTAAGAATAAGAAGTATGGCTATATGAAAAGATAAGGAAATAGGGTCAATAGAATTCCGAATATATGAAAATATGAAATAAGTATAGCGCAACACGGACACACAACTAAAAGTTGTTGAATAATGTTGAATTCGAAGAAATATGGTGTGGATGCTTGAAAGTTGGCTAATAGATGGGTTAGTTCCCTCTGAAATTTAAACGGGTGAGATACAAACGGTCTGGGAACTTACCTGTCTTGTTCCATCAAAGTTTCTTCCATTGTTCCTTTGACAACTTAGGAACTTCGTGTTTGACAGCACCCATAGTTCTATTATGAGACCTCTAATACTGTTAGGCAAGTGAATATGTCTTTTACAACACAAGAACTAAGTGCGACACATAAACAATAAGCGTACATTCTTTACTTC